TTCACTCTATAGAGCAGAGTACTGAACCTCTAGCATTAATTCACAGTGATATTTGTGACTTTAAATCTGTGCCAACTAGAGGTGGGAAAAAGTATTTCATTACTTTTATTGATGATTGCACAAGATACTGCTATGTATACTTGTTAAGAAGTAAAGATGAAGCCTTGGAAATGTTTAAACATTACAAGAATGAGGTTGAGAATCAACTTGGCAAAAAGATAAAGGTGTTTAAAAGTGATAGAGGTGGTGAATACGAAGTACCATTCGCTGACATTTGCTCAGAACATGGTATTATTCACCAAACTACCGCTCCTTATTCATTACAACAGAATGGTGTTGCTGAACGCAAAAACCGTACCTTAAAAGAAATGATGAATGCTATGTTGATAAGTTCTGGTTTAACCCAAAATTTGTGGGGGGAAGCTTTGCTCTCTGCTAATTATGTTCTTAACAAAATACCTCAAAAGAAAATAAATGTGACACCTTATGAATTATGGAAAGGTCAAAAACCTTCCTATAAATTCTTAAAAGTGTGGGGGTGTTTAGCTAAGGTTGCGGTTCCTATTCCTAAGAAAGTTAAGATAAGACTAAAAACCTTTTATGGTATTTTCATAGGCTATGCATAGAATAGTAGTGCATATTGTTTCATTGTGCATAAATCAAACATTCCTGACATCCATGTCAATACAATTATTAAATCAAGGAATGCTTGTTTTTTTGAGGATATATTTCCTTGTAAAAATCCTTTTAAAAGAAATCATGATATTGCTAATAGCAATATACAAGAGAATATAGACCAAGAGTCTATAGATGATGAAAATAAGGAAGAACCTAGGCGTAGCAAAAGAGCTAGAACGTCTAAGTCATTTGGTCCTGATTTTCTGACATATATATTGGAGAATGAGTCACAAAGTTATAAGGAAGCTATGTCTTCTCCTGAAGCTCCTTTATGGAAAGAAGCCATAAATAGTGAAATTGAATCCATCATGCAAAATCATACTTGGGAGCTGGTGGATCTTCCTCCTGGTACTAAACCTTTAGGGTATAAGTGGATTTTCAAGAGAAAGATGAAGCCTGATGGTTCAATTGATAAATATAAAACCCGACTTGTTGCTAAGGGATACAGGCAAAAGGAATGCTTGGATTATTTTGATACATATTCACCAGTCACAAGAATAACATCCATTAGATTGTTACTAGCTTTTGCAGCATTGCAAAATTTAGAAATACATCAAATGGATGTTAAGACAGCCTTCTTGAATGATGAATTAGATGAGGAAATCTATATGGAACAACCTGAAGGTTTTATAGTTCCAGGAAAAGAAAAGAAGGTGTGCAAGCTTGTAAAATCTTTATATGGATTGAAATAAGCACCTAAACAATAGCATGAAAAATTTGACAAAGTGATGTTGTCAAATGGTTTTAAAATTAATGAGTGTGATAAATGTGTTTATGTGAAAAACACTCAAAATGGATATGTCATTGTGTGCCTATATGTGGATGATATGCTAATAATGGGTAGTAATGATGTTATAATCAAAACTACTAAAAAGATGTTGACCAAAAATTTTGATATGAAAGATTTAGGCATAACTGATGTCATACTAGGAATCAAAATTTCTAGAATATCAAATGGTTTAATATTATCTCAATCTCACTATATTGAGAAAATATTAGAAAAGTTTAATAAAGAAGATAGTAGTCTTGTAAAGACTCCTGTTGATGTAAATCTTCATATATCGAAAAATACAGGTCCTAACATATCACAACTTGAGTATTCTCACATTATAGGAAGCTTAATGTATTTGATGAATTGCACACGACCAGACATAGCATACTCAGTTAATAAATTGAGTAGATATACAAGTAACCCAGGAAAGAACTATTGGACTGCAATAATCAGGGTTCTAAGGTATTTAAGATATACCATAAGTTATGGATTACATTATTCTAGATATTCAGCAGTACTTGAAGGATACAGTGATGCTAATTGGATATCAGATACAAAGGATTATAAATCCACAAGTGGCTATGTCTTTACTATTGGAGGAGGTGCCATATCTTGGAAATCTTCAAAACAAACTTGTATTGCCAGATCCACTATGGAATCTGAATTTATTACTTTGGATAAAGCTGGTGAAGAAGCTGAGTGGCTTCGTAATTTCTTAGAAGATATTCCAAATTGGCCTAAACCTGTGCCCGCTATATGTGTACATTGCGATAGTCAATCAGCAATTGGAAGGGCACAAAGTAATATGTATAACGATAAGTCTCGACATATACGTCGACGACATAATACCGTTAAACAATTGCTCTCAAGTGGGATAATCTCAATAGATTATATCAGGTCAAAAGATAATTTAGCGAATCCGTTTACAAAAGGTTTGACAAGAGAGCAAGTGTATATTTCATCGAGGGGAATGGGATTAAAGCCGAAAGCTAACGAGTCATCTTAATGGAAACCCAACCTAGTTGACTTGAGATCCCAAGATCTAGGTTCAAAGGGATAACAGAAATTCTGAATGGCTCACCAGAAGCACTGGGAAGAATTAATCTTCTACCCATTTCTATGATGAGACAGTGCTACTTACAGCGATGCGTAGGATAAGCTATGCTTTTAATGACTCTTATATCTTGAAAATTCAAGTGGAGTATAGTAGGATACTCTTAATAAGAAATCACCTATATGAGTGTGAAGTGGGGCCGCTTCTATGAGAACTTCTAAGGCTAAGTTTTCTAGAGCGCTCATGAAATACCAGGAGTTGTTCAGGGCCATATGAACACAACCGTGAGAACCGACTTTGTGCGGGAAGGAATTGTGTGTTTGCTATTGTCTTGGTTTACATCAACGGCTGAACAGTTCAAGACATCATGTTCACTGGTTAGCCAATAAATCCGATAGTAATACACTAGGGAATGTTCAAGGCCAAAAACTACCTATCCCGATGCAGTTACTTTCTAATAGTACTCTCTCTAGTGTCGGTATCTTTTTTATTTGCAATTGACGCTAATTTCCATTCATGTGGGGGATTGTTGGAAACGGGGTATACAAAACAAAAACTTTGGATGAAATTTGGAATAGATTCCACTAAGAATTTTTTGCGGATCTATAGACCAGCGCGTTACTCTTCGCAAGGAGATGAACGTAGTATATTTACTTTCTCAAATCCGTTTCTGGGTGAATGAGAAATTAGATCCAAAGTGAGGTGTTTGAAAAACCTAAATGGAAAAAATGTTGAAACCAATTGAAGTTTAAATAAGTCAAGCTTGAGCTTGAATTTGGGCTTGGGCTTGGGCCTAATTGTAAAGTCCGGATTATTCCTTTTATTAAATGGAATTTTAGATTGGACCTATTTTTGGGTTGAGTTTATTTAAATGGGTTTCACAAATGGGTGGGTTTTTTGGGTGGTTGATTTTTTGAATTAAAAAAACTACTTTTTAATTTTTCTAAAGGGTTACACCTTTTAAATTAAAAAAAAAAAAATTCATTTTTTAATTTTTCTAAAGGGTTACACCTTTTAAATTTAAAAAGTTTTAGTTTTTTCAAAAGGTTACACCTTTTTCCGAACCATCATAACCCATGGTTGCACACACCCGAAAAGGCACCTTACAACCTATAAATACCCCCATTTGGATCATTTACAAACCATACCAAATTCAGAGAATTCTTCTCTTCTTCTGAATTTTCTTTTTCTTCCTTCTCTCTTTAGTCTGTGGGTTCGAGCCTTAGTCAGTCACTTCGAGTCCGAGTTCGAGTCAGAGAGTACTACACCGAGCCGGTTCGCCTATTCCTTTGGTTTGCAGTGCTACTACCGAAGGAAGACAAGTCATTGTATCCTGAGAGATAGACGCCACTGAGTCCGTAAGTACCATAGCGGGGCGAATCTATCTTAAGGACATAGAATCAAATTCTAGCCTCGACTTTTAATCAGGTTCCTTTATTTATAATTTTTATTTTATTTTATTAAACTATACATTACAAGTAATTATATATATAGATTATTATTTTATAATATTTATATATATAAGCATTATATTATTTTATATTTACAGATAATATTTAAATAAATAATACTATAGTATATGGTATACTTAGACCATATTTTGGACAACAATTAATAGAAAAGCAGAAAAAGAATGCAAGATCCAAGTGATTATGAATCAGAAGCGAAACCCCATACCTGACATGGTAATTTCTGCATATCTTGGTATCAGAATATTGGTAATTAAAAAGTTCAAGTTCTATTACACAAAACTAAACATTCTAAGTCTTAAAGTACAACCAAGACAAAGTTTGTCTTTCTTCTTAAAGATTCAATAGTGCTTGGAGAGAAACAGTGAACTGGAACGAAAAAAGGGGAAGGTTTGGCTAGAGTTCTAAAGAATTTGAAATATGAAAAATAACCTTGGTGTTGCAGCTGTTGCTAATGTAAGTATTATAGCAGTGAAACTGGGACAATATGAAATAATAAAGAAAAAAGAACTAATGAACAAAAATCAGAATGCATTCCACTTTTTTCCTTTTTATGCTTCAATGACAATAATGCAGCAAAAGAAGACCCAGTAAATTTATCTACTTTACATATCAATGCTCTAGATAACAACAAAAATTCCTCTAGGATATAATTCACAAGAATGAAAACAAAAACCTTATTCCACTAATTTGTTTTCGGGATTGTATAAAATTGGTGAAAGATTATCAATGTCCACCATTGAAGTAGAGAAACACTTAAACCCACAAGTCCAAAGTCAAGATGAACCAAGAATCAAGATCACAAATTTAATTTGGGGGCAATTTAGTTGCCGACTGCCTGAGAAGAAAATTTTAGTTGTTGGCTGACAGTTAAATGTTACTTTCAGGATGTTATGTGCTGATGACATTTCCAAAAATCTAAGCACCATGCAACAACTAACGTGCAAGAAAAAACAAAAAAAAAAAGGTAGAAGCTTGAACCTTGTAAAAAGCTCAAACCAGATATAAAAGTGTGCGCGCGCGTATATATATATATAAGTTATATTTTCTTAATAGTAAATCAATAGAGCAATATTATTTTATACAAAGCCAATAACAAGATCTAATGCTATCTAGAATCTCCTAAGGGCTTAAACTAGTTTCATCATTGGAAAAGGCACAGGACTTGGATAATTTACCAAACCCAAAACAATGACATTCCATTTGCCTCAATTTCAATAGCAAAAACAGAACAGTGCCACACCCAAAGCCCAAAGCAGCACTAGAACCAGTGAGTGACACAGCAGCACATACCAGCATCACAAAAGATTCTTCCTTTGTGTTCATATCTCTGGAAGCCATAGCCAATTCAATCCCAGCAAACAGCAGTAGCACCCCAAGAATCCCAATCGGAAACTGACCCAATATTCTCACAAAAGAGTTCCCAAACAGCAGCCCAAGAACCAGCTTCCCAGTCCCCAAAAGAATCACAGACACGCCGCTCCGGCCACCAAACCGGTACTGCCCTGCTAACCCTCCGGCACCATGGCATACAGGCATAGCCCCGAACCAGCACCCAACTAAATTCATAGCTCCAACACTCACGGACACCGCCGTAGCTGACACTTCCCGTTCAGGAAACAAATCCGCCGACAACTTACACACTGCAATCACAGAATTCAGTATAGATAGCGGAATTTGAGGTATTGCAGCTCGAAGAAACCCAATTTTCCAATCCTCCCATGTAATTTTCACCATATGGATCTTGGATGGACCCCATTGGAGGTCATGAATAATGGAAGGATTTCTAACAAAACACAAGATCAACCCAAGTAAGAAAACTATCAGAGCTGCCGGAATTGACGATAAAATCCGCAATCGCCGGCGGACTCGAAGTTGAGAACGATTTGATGAACTATTTGGTTGTTCCGAAATTTGAATGTACTCGTTGGTGTCATGTGTTTCACCGGCACCGGTAGACAGTACAAGAAATAAAATTGAGCAAATAGCGAGTATAAGGCCGTCGAGGCCGAGCCAAGATCGAGGAGTACCCGATTTTCCGGAGACGAAATCTTGATTGTATCGGACGTATTTGATGGCGGAGAAGGCGAAGGAGAGGCCTTGGGAGAGCTGGACGCCGCGGACGACGGGGACGGGAATGTAACGGTAGAAGAAGGACATGAGGCCGGTGACGCCTAGGAGGAGGAGGACGGAGGCAGTGGAGATACCGGCGGCGGCGATTTGCGGGACGGTGAGGTGGGGGGTTTCGGAGACAGCAACAGCGGCGATGGACTTCATGGGTTGGACGGGCATGGGGATGGAGAAGAGGAGGCCGGTGGCGATGTTGTAGAGGGCAGTGAAGATGAGGGTGGTGCTGAGGTCGAGGTTGGAGACCAGGGTGAGGGCCAGGACTATGGGGATGTAGGTGCCGAGATCGCCAACAGAGCCGCCGAGTTCGGACCATATGGTGGTTTTGGGGCTGAGGGTGGGGAGACGATGGCGCCACCACTGGTGGCGGAGGAGAGGGGTGGTGGAAGAGTTTGATGATTCTTCTTCCATGGTGGAGGACTGTGGGTGTTGACTATCTGAGGGTGAGATTTCTTTGATCCAAAGTGAAGTGAGGATAAGCCAAAACTTTAGGCAAAAGGGCATATGCCGCGGATATTATTCTTAGGTACGCATAACGATTAGTTAAAGTTTTTGTACGAAATTTAATTGAATCGTATACGGGTATTAAATAATCTATGTATTATAAAATACTGCATATAAGCACTAAGCAGCGCATTTGGGATTGTTATTAAAATTATAAAAACGCTTTTAGTAATAAAGTTGTTACAAAATTGTTATATGGAAAAAGTATGTTATGTATTTCGTGATGTATTTTATTATCTAATTTACTAATAATATTTCTATCCTCAATATATTTTGTTTAATATTTCTATCCTCCGTATATTTTGTTTTATTTCTAATATATAGGTTTTTTCATGAATATAGTAATTGGATGATTATGGAACTAAACTCTTTCTAAACTAAACTTCTAATATAACTTGAATTTCTAATATAGGTTTCTTAAAAGGAAGGATGCCGAATTTCAAATACAAATATATAGGTTTCTTAAAGAAAACGGTAGGTTAACAGCAATACTAGCAAGTTCCAGTTTTCAGACAACACAATTCAGTTTGCATAATATTTGTATATTCTTTTAACACTATGGATAAAGTTGTATCTATAAAAAGTAAAGAGGGATTAAATAGTCTAAAACAATATAATTGTCATAAAAAATTTATGTTTACTTAAAACACAATTTTAAAAGTTACGGGTTTGTAACTTTAAGTGGATGCGCTTTTTAGATGAAACCTCTACTATCTAACCGCACTTATTTTTGTCACCAAGCGCATCTCATCTCAGTTTTTTCAAATAAAAGTGCTTTCTAATAGTAGAGAAGCAATCCCAAACACACAGAGTAAGATAAAAAGTCTGCATTACATTTTCTTCTAATAAAATCTAAATATTGTGTAATTATATTAAAATGACAAAGCACAATTAATCTAAGGCTATGTTGGGTTGGAATTGAGGAAGAATGGAAGAAAGAGGGATACAAGAATAGATGAAGTTTTCCTTATTTTGTTGGAACTTAGAAGAGAGGGAGAAAAGTAAGGAGAGATGAAGCATCCCTCCCAATACATGTTTTTTAAAAGTTTTTTTATTCATTTTAAAATTAGGAGGAAAGGAACCAAAGAAAAAAAGGTTGCCCTACAAATATGTAATACCAATTTTAACATTTAATTACTTACCAAATCATTAGTTAAATTCCATCGAAATTCTCTCACAATACATGATAAAAAATATATATATAAATTCGCTTGCCATCCTTCCAACCAAATCAAAAAATTGGTAGTAACCCATCCATCCTTTCTACTGTGCTTTCATTCAACCAAGTAAAATGCAGACTTAAACTATCACCTTGAAAAATGAACGTGATACTCGTAATTAATGTCATGATGTCACTGATGATTCATTTAAACCATAAAACTAAGGTTTTGACGCACCCAGAATTTCCATACATCAAATTTAGTCTGCTGATTTTTCTTTGACACTATTGAGTTCTAACCAGAGGAGGAGGACAAACATTGTGAAGGGAGATAGAAAAAGGTCAACATAGCATCCATTTGTGCAAATTTATACACTTATCTACCAGGTTCAAATTGTGCAGGAAGTCAAAGCATTCAACTGTGATAGAAATATACATATGTGAGCAGAGGAGAGGAACCCACACTTCACCAGTAATGCCTTGCTCCACAGCCAAATCTCCAATGGCAGCAAACCACAAGAATTTCAGTGTCAATTTTACTGATTAGCAGTGCAGTGGATAAGAGGACAAGGAAGCAGCTTCTTTCTTCAAGTCGAGCCATTGACAGAAGATAATTGGACTCTGTTTCAGAATACCTCGATCATTGTTCTGCTCTTTTTTGCTTTACATGTAATATGTTTTAGAAGGCCGGTTGAGACGTCCAGTATGCAATTTCAGTTCACAACCTTGGGTCTACCATTCCCGAATTCTCTTGTAAATCAGTAGGAAAGGTTAGAAGTTATTACAGCACTCTTGCTTACCAGTAATCAAGTTCTTCCCCAGTAACCTTCATCCCCACAGGAGCAGACTCCATCCTTAAAATTGTGTAAATGTTCGGTATCCCTAACCGAAATCTCTCTCCGAACAACCTTAGAGATAAATTTGATGGTATTATGACAGCTCTCACACATGTAGAGATTCTTTGTCACCCATACAGGCATACCAGGGGCAGTATTTATAAGTGAAAATGCAATGGCCAGTCTCTCACTGTGCCCACAGAAAATGTCAGCTTTTGAAGCTTTAACTTCATCTAAAGAACTTCTTTCTGGACTACTGAAATCGGCCAACTTCATTTTCTCATAAAATCCCTCCAAAATTGCACCTATTTCCTTTATTTGAGGGTGGGAATCATCACCGCTGAGGAAAGCATGGACTTTTCCTTTCACTTCCACCCAACTGCACCCGGGATCAACAGTAAGCCCTTTTTCTCTCATCATCTTTCTCAGTCCTGCGACTTCATCCCATTTACCACTGTCAGCATAAAGATTACAGAGGAGGATGTAATATCCAACACTTCCTTTATCCAATTCAAATATATTCCTAGCCGCAAGTTCCCCAAGCTCAACCCACCTGTGGATCCTGCATGCATTTAGTAAGGCTCCCCAGATGGCTGGATCTGGTTTTATTGGCATTTTCTTTATAAATTCATAAGCATCCTCCAATTTCCCAGCACGGCCAAGTAAATCCACCATGCAAGCATAATGTTTCAGATTCGGGGTAACAGAATACTTAAGTTTCATACTATTGTAAAACCCCAATCCTTCAATAACCATCCCAGATCTACCACAAGCACATAATAAAGCAATAAATGTAATCTCATCAGGCTTTACCTCTGAATTTATCATTCTATTGAATAGCTCCACAGCCAGTGTTCCTTGCCCCCGCTGAGCATAGCCAGTCAGCATAATATTCCAGGATGCCACGTCTTCTTTCTGCGTGTTAAATTGGTTCCATGCAGGTCCCATCCTTCCACACCTTACATACAAGTCAAGGAGAGAATTGGGTAAAAAACCATCAAATGCTAATCCATTCCTTAATGCATGAGCATGGATCTCTTTTCCACACATCAAAGCTCCTATCCTAGCACATGCAGATAGGACAGCCACCAAGGTAACAGAATTGGGGTTGATACTTACTATCATTTGCCTGAAGAAAATCAAAGCCTCAAAGCACCGGTTGTTGATTCGGAGCCCAAGGATGATAGATGTCCAAGATATCACATTCTTAACAGGAATGTTGTGGAAGACTTCCAAAGCCTTGTCAACACATCTACATTTGGAATACAAATCAATGAGAGTATTTGCTACCATAACATATGATATGAGTCTTGTCCTCTTGGCAAGCTCATGCAGCTTAATGCCCAAATCTAAAAGGCCCAAAGAAGCACATGCAGATAAAACACTGGCAACGGCAATCTCGTCCGGTATGACACCTTGCAGCTCCATCATTTGGTAAGTTTCCACAGCTTTATCAGGCAATCCATTATTTTCATAACCTGAAATCATTGTTGTCCATGATACCACATCTTTAGACTCGATTCTAGAAAAAACTTTTTCTGCTTCCTTCCAATTCCCAACACTCGAATACATTTGAATTAAAGAATTTTCCACCGAAAAATCAGCCCCGAACTCTGTTCGCACTACATACCCATGAATTACCCTCCCTAATCTCTCATCACCAAGAAGCTCACATGCAGAGATCACACTTGTCATGGTCATCAAATCCGGATTAATAGAAAGTTCACGCATCATGAAGAACAATCTCAATCCTTCCAAGTATTCAACATTCTCAAAATACCCTGAAATCATCGCATTCCAAGAAATCCTATCTCTTCTAAGCATTCTATCAAACACAAGCCGTGCAGCATGCACATTGCCGCATTTCACATACATGGTTATCAAAGCATTAACCACATCAATATCTGACTCAAACCCAAATCTAATTACATGAACATGAACCTCCCTACCCCTCTCCAAATCCGGTACACCGCCGCAAGTCCTCAAAACGCAAGGAAACGTATACACATCGGGTTTAATCCCAACCCACAACATCCGATGGTACAGGTTCAAAGCCTCATCAAAATAACCAGCTTTCGCATACCCACCCACCAAAACATTCCATGAAAAAATATCCCTTTCCTCCATTTTCCCAAACACATACCATGCATCAACCAAATTGCCCAACCTCACAAACATACTCAACAACGCATTACCGAGTCGAATACTCAACCTGTTCGTCGAATTCAATACGCACGAATAAACCTTAGCTCCTTGATTAGCTGATCGCTTCCACTCACAAAGCCTAAGCAAAGCAATGAAAGTTTCTTCTTCAACTGCAATTTGAAGTTCTTGCATTGAATTCAAGAGTTCTAGAGCTCGTTCTATGTGCCCATTGAGGCAGAGCTCGCATATACGAGAGTTGGGGTTTCTGGTGTCGAGGGAACTGGTGTTTAGTACAGAGATTCCATGGGTTTTCTTGAGAGAGAATTTGTGGGTTTGGAGGTTATGAGAGAAATTCAACGCTTTGGGTTTTTGTACATTGGAGTGGAGGTTGGAAAGGTCAGGGTGTGGAGGGATTGGTGGGGTGTTAGCAGAGACCGCCATTTTCGGAGATACAGAGCAAATGTGCAACGGGTGAGGTTTAACGGCTAGAACATTGCACAAGGTAATGTTGCACACTGAGAAGCGAAAGCGTAGCGATACGACGCCGTCTAAAGTGTTTGTTGTTTAGGTGCCAATTAAAAGTGTTTGTTGTTACCCATTATGACTTATGAGTGGTACTAGGAATTGGTTCCAACTCCCAAATTAATGAAATTCGTGTGTTTTGTATTAGTGGATTCGGACATTTTGGTAATGAAATTTGTTTTGTGTTTTTTCAAAAATGTTGATCTGAATCATTGTTATATCAATCAATAACAAAAATAAATTGGCAAAATTGTATTAATTTTATATTTATATAGAGTCATACTGTTTGTTTTGAGTTAATAACATTGTAATTAAGCACAAAGATGTAGTAAATCCTACCAATTACGGCAACCAATTTCAAGTGCTGATTCTGTGCTCCCAAACTTAACTATTTATTATTCACGAACTTCTGTGTAAAAAACTTATTTAGGCTTCGTTTGTTTGAATGGTATTTGGTTGTCGTAAAATATTTACGAAGAAAAAAAATATTAAAATTTAACAAAAATAACTTATTCATCAATTTTTAGCAAGTTATTTTATATGCCCCGTCCTATATATATTTGACTTTAACCTCGACTTATAACTTTACCAAATACTAAAAAATAAAAATAAAAAATGGATTTTACCTAAAAAGAAAAATATTTTCCATCAAAAATATTTTAGGTCGAAACAAATGGAGTCTTAATATGAAAATTTTGTGAAGTCTATAAAGAGGAATTAATATTTATTCAACCAAGTACTAGTAATATCGAATGTGTGTTTTGGAACCTATGGATGTAGGATTGGGTTCAGTATAAAAAACAGATCAATCTAATAAACATAATCACTACAGAGGTTACATCAAGATTATATGTTTGTGATGAAAAGAGATTTCGAGGTAATTAAAAGACAGCAAAATAACCACAAAAGGAACTTTAGAGTGGAGACTATATAAGACTAATTTTTGTGCTTTGATCATGATGAATATCAGATTGAATAAGAAGAATGATTAAGGATGTTTCAAGTAAAAATCTTAAAAGCATTGCAATATTAGAGGCACACAATTTGTTCCATCATATAATATTTAGCAACACACTCCCACATGTTTGAGCGCGCAGCTTGCAAAGATACAAAAAGTGCAGCGATATATATATATATATATATTTGAAATCCCATTGATCAAATTCAAGACATGGATCTCCTCCACTTGGTGGGAGTAGTTCTTCCTCTCATCACCAGCTTCGTCTTCTTGTCCGATGGAGTTTGTCGTCCAAACCCTAGCTCAACTTCCCCTTCTCCCACTAGTTCAGCCTTGTCCATGGGGGCGTAAATGGTTTTTTGTGAAGAAGGCATTCCAAGCTTCTTCCACCACATAAACCCTTTCTTCTTCTCCGACAGCCTCTCTATCTGAGCTTGCATGGAAAAGCACTGGTTTTGAAGCCTAAGAATATCTTCTCTTAACTTCTTGATCTCCATTTGTTGAGCCGTCATTCGTCGCTTGGACGGACAGCGAGCAGGAGGCTCCAGCCCAAGGGTGGGACTTGGGGCGCCGCCATTGAATGATCCGCTCCAATCGATCTGTTTGGTGAGTTTCGTTTGCTCGGAGAAGAGCACTTGGATGACTGCTCTCACCGGCAAACGTTCATTATGAGCTGCATGCAGAGAGGCCTCTGGAGAGAGTTTGCGACTGTCTATTAATCTACACACACTCTTCCTTTCTTGCTTTGACACACCGGGATGTGCCTGCACCCAAAACAAACATTAGGGTTGCACATTATCAATTAAAAGCTGACTTATAAAAGTTTTTTTTTTCATGTAAATACTTGGCATTTTGATAAATATATGAGTACAATTGGTACTATTATTATTCTTGTATCAGTCAATACTACTCAGATCATCTTACTATAAATACAAGAAATTAAGTGTATATATATATATATCAGTATAGTACTTTTGCAGTTAATCATTTGGGTGTATAGTCACTTGCCATGCTAAATAAAATCTTTAAGAAAATAAAATAAAATAAAATCATTACATAGTTTGAACCTAAAATAGGCCTGGTGGCCCGACCCAAAGAGTTGTAAGATTGAAGGCCAATATCCCAATTCTCTCAGCGGGCCGGCAATTGTCCTGATCAAGCTTGGTCCACTGACTCCACTGGTCTTGGGCCATTGCCGGTCCCGGGTTCGGGGTTCAGTTCATTTGGGGATGCATAAGTGTAATGATCAGGGAATACTGTATTGACGTCAAGATTTAGAATTGAAAAAAGTTTAATTTATATTAAATTTTCTTCAATTCGATATCATGTAATATTAATTAATTGATAATATTCTAATAAAACAAAAGAATAAAGATTCTTAAAATTAATTGTTATTTCCAGCTTCTAACTTTATTTGATTAGAGTGTTACCATCAGTGCGGATTGAGTAGCGCTTTAGTATCAACTTGCTGAAAATTTTAATGGTTAGATGGGAATATTCCACTCTCCAAAAATTCACACGGACAACATAAAAGACAATTATTGGTAATATGTGTTGATGTGTATACGAAAGTCAAGACAAAATGCATTTAATTTTGGAAAATGACTTGCAATGTATAGAACCCCAGCAGACACACATAAAGAATCTAATGCTAGCTGGTGGTGTTGTGACAACACAATAACTAATCATTAGAGGTGTAGGATGTGGCGGGTAACGGGTATCCTTTTTCTAGTATTTGGTGTTTACATGTAGACTGCATACGTATTAATATATATATATATATATATATATATATATATATATACATAGATAAATACACGGAGATACATTTGATAGCCTGTGAATCAATTTAAGGGACTATAACATCATAATAAGGTAGGCAAGCATGGATTAATTTAAGACCAATAAATTAACATTTCATAAATATGGTGAAACTTACTTTGAGGTATGTATCAATGGCTCGGTATAAACCATCATCTGTTGAACGGGCATGGCTGGGAAGAGCTCCGGCGAGGGCAACAAACTCCGACAAACTCAAGCTCGAATCGACAGCCACCTCCGCCAGATAGCAGTCGAGCAGCTTGGCCACCTTGATCAATGCAGCTCCACTTCTCACCCCTTGATCATCCAAGCTCACATACCTATTGACAAGCCTCAGAACCAGCTCTACATCTAGTAACGTACCACAAGTGTGACTAAATGATGGTATCATCAGCTCTTTCAATGAAGCCTGATCAAGCAGCCACGAAATGCGATTCTCCAGCTCATCCAGATACGCCGGCTCCACACCGACCATGTTGGCGATGCGGAGTAGCCGGAGGAGGAAGTTGCAAGGGATGGAGTCTTTCTCCGGTGGGAGAATTCCGACCAGGGTTTCGACGAAAAACTTTTTTTTCATCCACATTGCCGTCACACTCTCCGGTGATGATTCAAAATTGGTTATGCCCTTCTCGGCCTTGTCGGTGGAGAGGTCCGGTAGCCATTTCGAAGCGTAGTGGGTTATTATGGAGCCAATTAGGTCGGGCCGGACGCCTTTTGCCTTGATGTCGGAGAGTGTCTTGACGAAGTAGTCCATGTCAAGGATGCATGCGTCGTTGAACCAGCATTCCGACGCGAATTGTGTCGGTTTTCCGGCCAAAGTGAGGGACTCCGGCGAGGATAGCCTCTTCATGTTAGTACAAGAGAGGTTGTGTGAAGAAAGGGTTTCCGAGTACTGAAATTGTGGGCGGGCTGAATTTTTAAGTTACATAAATAAATTAAGTGCTAGAATTTGTCCTCATAAAAGAAGGGCAGAGGATAAGAGAAGTGTTCTCCTTGCCAATGCCACATATGGACATCCTTGAGCACTATTAGTTCTACTGACACAAATAACCATGAGTTATGGTACTTTTTGTGCTGAAAACAGCGATAAGATATGGGTGGTTTGGGGACTGAAGGATTCTCATAACCGTTTGAGATTGGAGCATGTTGTTTTTGTAATTTGTGTGTGTGTGTGTATTGTGTGTGTGAGAGAGCGAGAGATCTGTTCCAGGTCTCTGTCATGCTAATGTGGTGTTGTTACTATTGAGAATGCGCCATGATGTGTCTTTGGATGGAATATTAATGCATTTAAGGAAACTTGTCCTCTCTTGATATGTGTGGATATATAGTGCAGTTGGTAGACACACACTAGCCGTGAGTGCTTTCTAAGCATGGTCATGACGATTTTGTCTTCATCCTCAGATTGATCTGGTGATGACCGCGTGTGAGTACGCAAAGAGCCAATACTAACAATTAGGCTGTAATTCGGGCAGGCCCAACCCGAATTTACCCAAGCCCAGTCCGCATTTTTATAGGCTTGGACAATGACTTTTTGTTCTGGGTCTGGACTTGGGCTGAGTTTATTGAGCCCGAATTCAATTCGGGCCGAGCTCAGGTAGATATCTTATGAAGCCCGAAGCCCAACCCGAACCCGCCCAAAATGCTAATATTGGTTATGAATTTTATATTTTGTTGGAATGTGGCTTGTTATTTTGTTAATTTTGTACTTATTTATTATTAATGTTGGACTTGTATGTTTTGTATTCAAGGCCTGTACGTTCTGTATGTTTTGAATGTTTTGTATGTTTTGTTAACTTTGTATGTTTTGTATTTTGTTGGAAGCGTCATCATAAACACACATCACACAGATTCAAGGCCGTGTGGTGCTACAACTTCATCATCATCATCATCATCATCAGCTTCTAGAGTTGTCATCTTGATGTTGTTGGAGATGATGATGCACTACTTGAACATGATAAGGTTGAAACTTGAAACTCATACAACTACTCCAACTCTAAGCACTAATAAAATTGAGAGAGCCCGATTTAAAAGCCCAAGAAAATCCGAAAATATAACCCGAATAAAGAACCCGAGTTTAGCCCGTGTTTTAAAAATTAAGTATGGGCTGGGCTTGGGCTCACTAGGCGAAATTATACCCAGGCTTGGGCTGGGCTTGTGCTGAAGATTTGTATGCTGGGTTGAGCCCGAGTTAAGTGTCCAACCCGCCCGAGTTGCAGTCCTACGTACAATGCAATCATTTTGGTTTTAATATTTAATACGTTTGGATGAGAGATGTGGAAGGAGAGTGAGAGAAACTAAAGAAAGGATTGTTGAAAAATAAATTTGATTTTAATATTTAATTAGTCATTTCAAATATTTGTCTTACGTAGTATATGTGGGCATTTAGCAAGTTCGTGGGTAATAAATTGTCTTGAGCATTGCTATTTCACCCAACTTAAAAAAAAAAAAAAAAAAAAAAAACCTACTTAATAGCGATTATTTTTTGAAGTCCAAGTGTCATGTTGTAATTAGTGGAGTCCTTAATAGAAACACACACGCCTCTCTCCGCTTCGCCCACGCCCCCAAGTCTTCTCATCCCCTCTCTCTTTATATATATATATGTATTCCCTTTCTAAACTCTCTCTATTTTCATCTTTTTCCATATGAGTTATGGAGACCCGGTTAACCCATGAACCCGGTTCTTTAATTCTCAATTATTGTTCTTGATATCCAAAAAAAAATTTCAAATGACGAAAAAGATAAACGAAATAGATCTACAAACCCAATTTTTGTTTTCTTCCTCTTTTTCTTTCTTAGGGCGAAAACTATGGTTGAAGTTGAAGATAATAGCAAAAGACAAAAATTTCATTCCCTGCAACAAAGCCTTTTAATGGAAAAGATATTTTATAATAAGAAGAATTTTAAGCTATGGAAAAAATATTTTATAAAGAGAAGAAATTTTAAGCGAAAATATGTACATACGAGTAATTTGTACACAAAGAAAAGATATAACAGAAAGAGCATAAAAGGAAACCAAGAGGAAAGGGTAATTTTGTCTAAAAAAATGTATTGCATTTAATATGCCATGTGAGCCTTGGTATTGCGATTAGTGTATTGTCACGTGAAAGTCGGTTTTTATCGGTTACAAGAAAGTCGTCAAAAATAAATTTGATTTTAGTATTTAATTAGTCATTTTAAATATTTGTTTTACGTAGTATATGTGGGCATTTAGTAAGTTAGTGGGTAATAAATTGTCTTAATAAGATTTAGTATATGAGAGTTAGTGTGACGGTGAAAGTTATGTAAAACCAAGAGTCATCAGAATTAAGGCTAAATGGTTATGTTAGTGGAAATAGTAGGTATAATTAGGCATTTAAATGTAATGGTTACACATATGTTTGTGAGGCCTATATAATCTTGTACTCGCAATTTTATAAATAGTAAAAGTGGAATAAAATAATTTTTCAAGTATTCTTCCATATCATTCTCTTCCAAAATATATATTATTGAGTGTTGTGTGTATCTAGGCACTATTTCCAATAAAGTGGTATCAGAGTAAAACTAAAAAGTAGAATTAGAACAAAAGCCAACAAAGTGGTATCAGAGCTAGTTTGTGAGTGAGGGAAGAAATGGCAAACAATTTGGTTCCATTTCAAATGCCGCAATTCACCAAAAATAACTATGAAAATTGGCGTATTCGTATGAAGGCAATTTTAGGAGCACAGGATGTGTGGGAAGTTGTTACCAAAGGTTATGATGAGCCACAAGATGAGGCAACTTTGTCTCAAGCCGAAAAAGATGTTTTACAAGCCATGAGAAAGAAGGACCAAAAGGCGGTGATGACCATCCATCAATGTTTGGATGATGGAATACTACAAAGAGTTGCTAGTACAGAAAATGCAAAGCAATTATGGGAGATTCTTCAAAATTCCTTCCAATGAGTTGATAAAGTGAAAAAAGTTTGCTTCCAAACGTTACGGGATGAATTTGAAGCATTGCATATGAAGGAATCTGAATCAATTTCAGATTATTTTTCGAAGGTCCTGACTATTATAAATCAACTAAGGAGATATAGTAAAACCACCATGACTGATACAAGGGTCGTTGAAAAAATCATTCGGTCGTTGGATTCCAAATTCAACTACATTGTTGTAGGCATGAAGAGTCAAAGGATTTGGATTCCATGACTGTTGATCAACTTATGGGTTCGTTGCAAGCTCATGAAGAAAAGGTGGTGAAGAAACAAGATGCTTTGGAGCAAGTGCTATAAACAAAGTTTTTGTTAAACAAAAGAAACGAAAAACATGGAGGCGGAAGTTAAAGAGGCCAAGGACGTGGAAATGTACGTGGCTAAGGAAGAGAAAGAGACCGTGGAAGAGAAGAAAGAAGCGGTCAACACACAACTAACAATGAAGAAAAAAAATCATGACTCACAACAAACAAGAGGTCGTGGTAGAGAAAATTACTCAGGTCATGTGGAATGAGGTATGATAAGTTTCAAATTCAATGTTACAATTGTCAAAAATATGGTCATTATGCTTCGGAATGTAGAAATATTGCTAACGATATTGAAGAAAAGGCTAATTATGTTGATGAAGAAGTGGAGCCTACTTTATTGTTGGCATACAAAGGTGAAAAGAGTGAAGAAGGTGTGTGGTATCTTGACACAAGTGCTAGCAACTATATGTGTGAAAAGTTCATCGATCTTGATGAATCAATAAATGGTAAGGTGACATTTGGAGACTTTCACAAATTCCAGTAAAAGGGAAAGATAAAATATTGATTCGTTTAAGGAATGAGCATCATCAATTTATCTCTAATGTTTATTATGTGCCTAACATGAAGAACAATATTTTGAATTTTGGACAACTCTTAGAAAAAGGTTGCAATATTTCCATGAAGGATTGTAGTTTTTCGATAAGAGACCCATTGGGTAATTTGATTGCCAAGGTTCCAATGACAAAGAATTGGATGTTTTTGTTAAATATTCAAACCGACAAGGCTAAATGTTTGAAAGCTTGTTTTAATGATTTAATTTGGTTTTGGCACTTAAGAATTGGGCACTTGAATTTTAGAAGACTAGAGTTGTTGGCCAAAAAGAAGATGGTGAAGGGATTGCCTTTCATAAGCAATCCAAATCAATTATGTGAAGGATGTCTCGTTGGAAAACAATCAAAGAAAATTTTTCCTAAAGAAGCCACCACAAGAGCTACGGCGCCACTACAACTTATCCACTCGGATGTTTGTGGTCTAATTTCTCCATCATCATTTGGTAAGAATAATTATTTTTTATTGTTCATTGATGATTTTAGCCGAAAAACATGGATGTATTTTCTTGAACAAAAATCGGAGGTGTATGAAATTTTTAAGAAATTTAAGGCACTTGTTGAAAAACAAAGTGGCTACGATATAGAGGTTCTCTAATCCAATAGAGGTGGTGAATTCACATACAAAATCAAGTTTGAAGGGGGGTGTTGAAAAATAAACTTGATTTTAGTATTTAATTAGTCATTTCAAATATTTGTCTTACATAGTATATGTGGGCATTTAGCATGTTAGTGGGTAGTAAATTGTAATGTTTCTGATTTTCGCCATTTTTCATTTTCTGGAATTTTTTGAAGGTATTTTCGTCTTTTCACGTTTTGCGTGCCGGACACCGTGGAGTGTTCCGAATGTGTCCAAGAGTTGTGTGGGATATTTCCTTGGATTCAGAACTCTTGAAAATGCACTGGTTGTCATTTTAGTATATTTCTATTTTTCGAGTAGGGAAATCTTGGGTGGGACCCACTTACGGAGTCGTCGTGTACGAGGGTTGTGTCTCGGGTCCGTTGCATACCATGCATAATTATTTTTGTGCATAAGTTAAATGCTTAAATGCTAATTTGTGGTTGTATTATAAGTGGTGTTTGTATATGAATTTTGTGTAGGAAAATTTAAGTTAAAATGATATTTATTTTTGGGAGCCCACCATTAATACATTTTAATGGCCAAAAGGCCATGTTTGGCCTCACTTTCCTCTCTCTCCCGTAAGCTCCCCCTCTCCTTCCCTTTCTCATTTTTCTTTTTCTTTTCTTCACAACTTCAAACTTCATTTTCTCTCTCATTTTTGGGAGTTTGTTGGTGCTGTTTGAGGCAAAACGGAGAGCTCGTCG